CCGCCGGGGAGCAGGCGGGGAGACCCCGTTACTCGTCCTCCCCCGGACCCCGCGGGGCTGCGGGCGCCGGGGCTCTCCTTCCCCGGGCACCGGGGCCCAGCGCCGCCCGGCACCTTCACGGCCGGTTTTTGAAAATTAAAAAATACGGCACCTCCCAGACCGGCCTGTCACGGTTCTGGCCGCCGGTCTCGGTGGCAGCACGTAAGGAGCACCCGAAACAGCAGCGATTTGGGGAGAAACTTACACGAGTTATGTGTGAAGATAAGACGCTCACTGTCCTCCTTCTGTGAGCGTCCTTCCCCTTCAGGGTGCCAGCTTTGAGCACTTGCAGCGGTGCTTTCTTAAAAAAACCCCCAAGTTTCTGCTCTGCCCTGGGAAGCGCGGCATAACGTTGCTGGGCTCCTGCGAGCCTGGCGTAAACGGGGCATTTTGGAAAGCCCGTGCTGGTTTATGCTGCCTAGAAAAGATGTCTGAGTATGTCGGTCTCTTTTTCACAAATGAAACGCTATTTCAGTTCCCAAACCTATCATAAGCAGCATAAAAAAATCTGTAAGAAGGAGGAAGCCTGTTTAAATTGTGTATTATCTTGGGTGCGTGTAACCACATGCAGAACGGGGACGGAAAAGGTGTTACCAGCAGTTTGCGTGTGTGTGTGGTGTTACCGTACCCTGCGTCTGTCTGAGGACAGCCCGGTATCTCCCTGCTGTGGGGCTTTGTGAGTATTTTGAATATCGGGGACTACTGCTTGCCTAATTAAACTAGATAAGGCTGTCTTTTCAAAGGCTGTTGTTTTGATCGGCGGTAGGGTCATTTGAATGAGACAGCTGGAAGTCTGCAGTGGCTGTATTTTTGCCAGCTGAATCCGTACTGCATGAATTACGGCTCAGTGACTTTGTCTCTCTGAGCTTCCAGCCTCAGGAAGAACCTGAAACCGCGGGTGGTCCTGAGACTTAGCAGTCCGTGTCCCCGCTCTCCTCACGGGCTGCCCGAGTTCGTTTACCCCTGTGGTATGTGAAGTCAGATGTCCCCAGGAAGAAGTCCAGGCCACTGTGTACGCCCAGCGCTGGTTACATGAGGTCATGTCACCAACCCATGAGAGGGATGGAAGTTGCTGGGCCAGACACGTAACGTAGGGACCCATCCACATGGCACGTAAATGTACCCCTGAGGCCTTCGTGAGGGCATGTGGCCCCCCCTAGCTTCTCCCCCGGGGTCTCCCACAGCCAGGGCTCAGGGCTAGCCCCAGAAAGGGGTGGAAGACCCTGAAACGTGGCCGGCGGCAGCGTGCTGTGCACCGGAGCCTGGGTTTACTGTGTGCTGACGCGGGCTGGCTGAGGAGCGGACAGGCAGGGGGTTTCAGAGGCACTGAGCACTGCAGCGCTTGGTGCAGCTGGCTACCAGCCTTCAGTTGTACTGAGGCAGCTCTCATGATAAGGCCACTCACGTCTGCACCCGAGGGTCTGTCTTGGCAAAATCGTGACTAAAACATCTACCTCTCAGGAGCACTCTGCATCTCTGTTACTTAATATTGTAAAGTCATTTGAAGTATTTTTATACACAGGTCATACAATGCACATATATACAGTACGTAACAGCATCTACAACTACTAATGTCAATAAAAAGTATCACTGGACTTTAAATTCAGTTATATGAGGCTTTATATAATGGGATTGACAGGAAAAATACTCTCTGAAAACTCCTCGAAGCACTAATGGTGGAAATCAGTATTTTAGAGTCCTTCAGAAGCAGTGGTGGTTTGTTTGAAATTCCACAGTGGAATAGTATTTCTGTCCCTAAAAGTAGTCTTAGCTAGGATAACTGTTGAATTTTGATTTTACTGAAGGGCCTAAGGGGAAATTCACTGTCCTGTTTATCAAATTTTATTTATTTTAATGTAAAATACATTTTTTCATGACAGAGAACACTTCTTTGTCTCTCAGATTTGTCAAGTCTTTAAAAGAATTTTCTGTTCCCGCAAACTGTATTTTTAAAAAAGAAGAGAGCTCTTCAAATTGCTTAACTGAAAACTTGTTACTGAATTGCGGGGTTTTTTTTTTGTCTTCTCACAAAAGCCTACACATAACTTCTTTAAATTTGTACTTCGTATTTTCAGAGCCTCCATCCCAGGTTTTTTTGATCACTCCTATGCATCAAAATAAAAGTTGCTATTGTCTCTTACCTATTTTTTCAGTTCCAAGAACACCACGTTTAGTTCTATGTTCTAGACGTTTCTCGTCAATATCTTAGATAAAATGGTTCTTTTAATTTGTCACTATATAAGTTTTTATGTGAGTCAAATCACCAAACACTTTCTAGGCTTATCTAAAAATAAAAGAGGAGGACCCCCCCCCCCAAACGAAGAGGTGCATGCTAGACAAAAAAATATTCACATTGAAATTCTGCATTCAGGTGCAGGAGGACTGAGTGGCAGCTTCAGTGAAATTTTGTAAGCTGGTCAGAGCATTAGCTCTGTCCTGACCATGGCAAGGTGACAGTGGGGTTCAGATTTTTATATCCGATATAAGAAGTTGCCATAGAGAGAAGCTTCTGCAAAAAGGTAAAAGTCAAGGAGATGGTGCAACTCTCACAGCTAGACCAGCATCTTTTAAATTAGCCAGCACTTCTGCGCCCAAGGGTAAGCAGTTCAAGCCTGATTTTTGAGAACTGATGATGCTTCAGGAGCAGGGCTCCTTCCAAATCAGTGCTCACCTTTAGCTGTAAATTTTCCCGTTAGTTATTTAGAAATGAGATAGGCAATGAGAAGAAAACTCCTTAAAGCTGAAAGATGAAAGGCTAAGAAATGGTTTAATTTGGATCATCAGACATTTTTGGAGGAGAAAAAAGAACACTGGATTATACGTTAAAAATTAAAATGATTATAATGTTATTTTCATTTAAGATAACCTCCTATGTAAAAATTACTAATAACCTGTATCAAAGGAGAAAACATAATTGAAGGGTTATCTGAGGAAGAAAAGCCTACCTTTTCCCCTGATTATTCTTTTCTATTATTTATTCTTCTTCAATCAACTCTCTGGAAAAACCTATGAATAAACAGAAACCGGCTTTGTAACATTTCAGATCTGAAGGCTCACTTCAAAAAGGCACTTCGGCTACTAGCGGTACAAATACAGAGAACATGGCAGGTGATTTTCTTGCTAGAAGGGCTCATAAAGCTAGGCAGGACCATTTAGTTGCTGATAGATGCAGTGAGGGATTGCAGTCGTTTGTGCCAGTGACTGTAGCCTGTTAATGTTTTTGGTCAAACTTGATAGAAGGACATTTGTTCTTGGCAAAGTTTTTGAATCTTAAGAAAAATCAAGAAACCCCGTGGTTCAAGTCTACAAAATCCATAGGAAATAAAAAAGGAACAGATCAGTAACTGAAGATGAAAAACATCTTTTATGATCTTGGTGCTCTTTGAGCATTCATGAACAGTGACAGTTTCCAAGAGACCGCATTGTGGGTATGTCACTTTGATGACCACATGTCGAATGTGCCAAGAGCCGCATTTTGTCAAAGGACTTACGTCTGTACAGCTCCTAGCGGAGTCTAACACGTGCCACTGTGGTGCAAAGAATACAAAAATGATCCTGCAGTGCGAGCACGGGTGTTTAGGCTTAGGTTACGGGAGGTTTCCTCGCTGTTGGGCGGAGGTGCCAGCTGCCTCAGCGGTTGGCACAGCAGCGCCAGCCTGGTCTCTACCCCCGGGAAGGAAATGAGCCGCCGCGGGAAATAACCTGCTGCCATCACCTCTCCGCAGCCTTATCCAACACGGTCAGACGTAAGGCAGGTGTTGGGGGGCTTACTGCGGGCTGCGCCTGGGGCAAGAACGGGGTAGTTGGGAGCCCGGCAGGAACTGTCAAGGCCGAAGCGAAGCCCGTGTGCTCGGCCCTCGGTTGCCCAAGGCCTCCGGCGGAGCAGGGCCGGCGACTGGCAAGGTGCCGAGCTCCCTCCCGGCAGTGGCCAACACATGAGGCCCTGGGGCCTGTAACCGGCCTTCGGTGCAGCTGAAGGCGCCGACACGAAGGGGCGGGGGAGCGGTGACCCGGACGCCGCCTGGGGCTCCTGGGAGCCGCCAAGCACCTCAGCCCGCTACCGCGGCCG